AAAAGGTTTCGAAAAAGCTGCTACTGATAAATTACCAAACATTTTCAGCTTTAATTAAGAGTCTATAAAATTTTATTTCTACTTAAGTTTCAGAATACATATTTATGGTGAACATAAAAATAAGAATTTAAACTATAGTTGAGAAGAAAATTTAAACTATAGTTATAGTTATTTCAATGCCAATATAAATATTTAAATAAGTATTTCGTTTCAAACAAAATTTTAGCAGCAGAAATTTATTGCGAAATATTTTTCTGCAGCAACAAGTTGTGTTCACAATTAGGTTTAGATCTAAACCTTAGTCAGCTGCATTTATATAGTTGTTTGGATTCAAGCACGCAACTTTCAAACGCTTTGCGGTAAGAAATAATCTAACTTAACCTAATTTGCTTAGTTTTTATAGAAAAAAAATATTTCTGTATGGTATTATTTTTCATTATTACTTTCAATTGTATGAGAATACTTGATACAGATGTAATTCCAATTCGCAGAAATAATTTTGATTTTAAGTTTATTAATGCCTAAATTACTGTGCAATTTACGTTTATTCTGAATTCTGTTTCACTTTGAAATGTTTATAATGCTTTAGAAAACAAGAAAAATCATATTGCTGATCCCCTATGAGCATTTACTTGAATAAAATTACAAATCAAAATGGTTGAAAAATACATTTTCAGTTTTGAAAATAGATTTTTCTTATGTAATCAATAATTTATGTTTCTTCCTTTCCAATCTATAACTTATTTTTTTACGGTGATAAATTACCAAACATTTTCTATACTATTAGATGATAAAAGCTGGGGTTGTTTTAAAGTTAGAGCTATGCAAATGTTAAATTAGTGCCTACATAAAAAAATACCATTTTTCGGCATCATGTTATAAGTATTTCTTGTTGAGAAGAAAATAAATGATTTTTATCAGATACGTATTTTATTCGTACTACGTTTACTGTATTGGTATTTCATAGAAGATAATTTAAATAAAGCTTTAATTTCATAAAAGAAGACTTTCGTTTTACAAAGCTGCAGTAAAAAGGTAAGGAAATTTGCTTGTTTTGTGACGATGACACATTTGATAACCCTACGGTTAATTTAATCATAACTGCGACGTGAAGGATCTTCTCTTCTCCGGAAAGAGCTATGCTGGAGGGATAGAAAGTCCCCATCCTTCCTCCCTATTCTGAGAATAATTCGGTCCAAATGGCGCATGTGTGTTTGCGCTCATGGTCGCGGATGAGGCGGTCGAAATATATTTATAAAACTCATAAAAATATTAAATCACATGTGTAATTATATGCAAAAGCACAAAGTGATATACAAGTAAATTTAACGTTTCCGTACCATTTCGCATTTTAATCAAAGGCCCTTATATGAAAATTAATGTGAAAATTTCTGAAAACATTTTATTCACTCTTCCATTATCAACAACCTATGCCTTTTTTAAAAATACTTTTTTTACCCTGGCGATTACATTTTAATGTTGAACTGTACTTTAAAAATACATTTCTTAGAGATGAGATGCCATTAAGAGCCTGCTTGAGTTCCCAACATCATAGCACTATAACACTATAGCACACTTTTGAATGAACACAACATACACAGTACTTTAGTGACATTTGCACGGCTGCCAGAATTTGCAAAAGAAAAAGGCATATTCATATTTCCTCTTAACAGAAAAAACATCTATTGAGCACGAGGGGAGTTCCTTTTCATATGTAAAAACTCACAACTCCTAAAATTAAAATTAAAATACTTAACTTTCACGCCGCATCTCACGGTTAAGATAACATTAAACACTGGCAGCATACAATTAAAAAAAGTTCTCGAACAATATAAATTAGTTGTACAGATTTACATCTTTACATAATAACAACATTGTTCTAACTACTTTATGAAACATTTTACAGTCCATGCATGTTTCGATATATATTGATCTCTTTCAGCTAGGTGATTCACTTAGCATTTATATATATATATATATATATATTTATATGTATATAATGTACAAACATGAGAGTTAATTTTCTCGACAAAACAGAAACAGTTGAACATTCACCGGTTTATGAAACACAAAACTGAGTTAAATTTGCAAAACTTTGAACAATCATGAACACAAATAGATTATAGTTTCAAGATAGAACTATAATCCTTTCAACCTTCTCAAAAAAGTACTTTTATTAATCTCTCACCAAGTCGTTGGATAAAAGTTTCCGGTTAGCGGTGGACTGCATTGTTATAGTTCGACCGTCTCAAACGCAACCCTGGTTGGCATTCTGCCAAAACACATATACTCGTCCAAAAGGGGCGGTATTACTTGCTGCGACGTGAAGGATCTTCTCTTCTCGGAAAGATGCTGGAGGGATAGAAAGTCCCCATCCTTCCTCCCTATTCTGAGAATAATTCGGTCCAAATGGCGCATGTGTGTTTGCGCTCATGGTCGCGGATGAGGCGGTCGAAATATATTTATAAAACTCATAAAAATATTAAATCACATGTGTACTGCAAAGCACAAGTGAATCAAGTAAAATTTAACGTTTCCGTACCATTTCGCATTTTAATCAAAGGCCCTTATATGAAAATTAATGTGAAAATTTCTGAAAACATTTTATTCACTCTTCCATTATCAACAACCTATGCCTTTTTTAAAATACATTTCTTAGAGATGAGATGCCATTAAGAGCCTGCTTGAGTTCCAACATCATAGCACTATAACACTATAGCACACTTTTTAATAACAAAGCAAAATATTTCTTACCAAATAATGAAACGAGAAAGGCTTACTTTTACTCCAAAGGAAATGGATTCACATGATTATGAATGTTACATTCAAATTTTGTTAGCAATATCTCATACATATTTTTTTTAATTTGCCAGTTTCTTTCTGAGAAAAGAAATAAGAAATGATTACTTTTTTGGGAGGGGGAGCTGAAAATGCTTTTGCAATAGAGCAAAAATTGCTTATAATATAATAATCAGATTTATTGTACAAAATATTCTTCGGGGAAAGGATTTGTCTCTTGCCAAATAAAGATATAGTCCTCTCAGATTCAACAGCAAAAGCAGTATAATGATAATTTCTGTAAAAACTGAATGTATATTAATTATCTGATTTATAAAGTATTTTAGTTTTATGGCTTATGAAAATATTTTAATGATCAGATTGATTAATAAGGAAATCACTTTAATTAATAGGGAATTCTAAAAATTAGAATTAGCGAAAGTAGAAAATACTATTTATTTTAAAATCACTGTGTTTAATTTTTTTAATTTATTAAAAATTTATAAAATAATTTTTGGTGGAAAATTAGATACCATTTGTTTTAATTTGCGAAATTTTCAATACAGGATCAACTTTCTTAACAAGTTTAATTTTTAAATAATTTATTTGAAATCGTTTCATTATAAAAATATCATATCATGATTTTTAATTAGAAATATAGTTTTTATAATTTAATTAATTAGGTAAAATTCAACCGTAGATGTACCATATTTTCATAGAAGAGCTCTATACAATTCAGAGAAGATAAGCACAGATTCCATTCCTTCAAAAGTGAAATTTGTGTCTTAAATATGTGAATACTTTGCCTTCTTAATAGCCCACCAGCAGCCAAGTGGTAAAATCGCTGAATACTAGTAGTTCGGTCCGAGGTTCGAATCCCGCGAACGGGCTGGCTGCGTGGGCGTTTTAGTGGTTTTCCCCCTTGTGTAACGTGTACATGAGCCATTTTCCTTGGAAAGTCTTCCACAAAGACATTCCTTAGGCAGATAGACGTCAAGTGCTTTGCCATTAATCAGGTAAACCAAACAATCCTCCTTAATGCTTTTAAAGAAAAGGGATTAGGGCTAATTTCCTTAAAACTCTTCGGTAAATGCAAGGCTGAATTTTACGTAACTTTCGCTTTTTAAGTAACTGAGCTTCTTTTCCGTGTGCAATATTTGTAGCATAAAGTTAGGTTAGTTTGTTTAGTTGACAGTAATAAAACATTAACAGTTGATTTTTTTCCAATTTTCTGGGCGGCACAGTGGAAAACTCTCTTTCATAATGAAGAGTAACTTTCTCAGTGTTTCAGAAACTTATAAAAATAACAGGTAATCTTTATTCCATTAAAAGTTTCATTAAATTAAAATAGTTAACCAAAGTTATAGATTTAGATTTTAACAATAAGTTAATACAGAAACCATTTCAAAGAAGAAATATTAAGCATGAACAGAAGCGGAGAAACCTTTATCTCCCCTACCCATTGTTTTCAAAAATTCTTAAAAGAAGGAAGAATTTGAATTAAATCTCCTAAAGAAAATATCCGACAATTAGATTTTGCGAAATACTCGCAAATCCTATATTTTACTTTTCTGGATTTCAGTTTTGTTCCACTGTTTTATTAAATTTCGCAACTTTCGTAATGACATTTGTTCAGATCAAATCATTTTTGCAAAAAAGTATTTGATGAGAAATTAAATTACTTAGCTTAGATTTTGCAATTCTATCCTAATTCAATTTGATATACTGTCTTATTAAATTCAATCGATTTTTAATTTCTGTAACATTATATTTTGTCGAGTTAATTTAAAAGCCACATGCAGTTTCTCTCAAAATTGTGATCTTAAAGAATTCCATGCGTTCCATTAATTTTGCGGATAGTTATTTTAAGAAAATTTTAGTATTTATTCCAAAATTGGATTAATTTGAATTTTAGATGATGTAGAAGCGTATTTCGATCATATTAAAGTTTTTAAACGGTAAATCTGCTGAATAAGCCGTTATTTTTGCCAGACTATTAATTTTATCCAATTATCTTGACATATCTAATGATACTTTCATAGAAAAAGACCGATTTTCTTCTCAGAGATACGTCGTTAATAAATAAGTAGCGTATAGAATCAAGTCAAGATGAACGATGAAAAGAACTAAATTGACCGCACGAAAGTCTGCTTATTTTTTCTCTAATTGAAATAATAATAATATATATAATAAATGGCTAATTTTCTTTAGAAATAACTTACCAAAAGAAATCCTTTCCCCAAGGAAGTTATACGTAGTTTACTAAAGAGGATAGCACACATTCGTTAACATCGAGGTGCAAAATGTCCTTTACTAGTAGTCTAATATTCACATATTCTCAGCTGTTAAAATATATAGCTTTCATATTTTCCTTACGAATAATTTAATCTTTTCATTCCATTATACACTTATTCTTTGTCCTATAAATCTAAGTATCAAGGAATAATAAACTTTAATTAATAAAAAAAAAAGATTATGACCATGTATCTTATACCAAACTGATGTTGTTGTAAATCGGAAATAGAAGAACACAATGTAATTGTGAACAACAACTGCTCTATTAAATCGAATTAAAAATTTTATGTATCTTCTTATAGTTACGTAAATGCTTCTGGAGGACTTGATGTAAGTAAGAAAATGTATTAAGTTTTTCCCATTTGATAGCTTAAAATATCTCAGATTTCGTAGCTGGTTACCTAAATTTTAGCATTATCTTCCACGGGATTTCTGTTATAGTTATGATATAAATGCTATTGCAGATTATGAAGAATTGTCTTGCTCACGAACGTTACTCCAATTCAAATGTTTTAAAATGACTGCAGTATTATCAAACCTGTGTTAAGATCTAGATCTTTGAAGGAGGCAACTAGTGCCCCCATTTTAACCTCATATAATAAAAAAAATGCTTGAAAATGTCTCAGTGGTATAAAAGCCACTAAACATTTCAGAACGTCATGAAGAGTACATCCATGTAGATACTGTACCTCACTGTTCCTGCAGTAGAGTCTGATAGTATCTGAATTTTGGCACGGTAACAAAATAAAGTTTCATGTAATGAAATCTCTTCTCTCATAAGCAACATCCACCAATTCAAGCAACAGGATTGACGCCTGAATATCCATCAAACGGTCCAGTTACGCTATTGCGATTGGCAAGAACAGGTCTAGAAAGAGAGGTGTTGCTGTCTCCTGTATTGCAGTTGACATCTACGTTTATGTATCGGTTTGGGGGCAAGTTGCTCGGCTCTCTTCCAGTTCCACTCATCTGCCTGACTAGAGCACTTGGATCGAGGGAAAGGTTCGACTTGCGTTTGGCTACGTTTGATGGATTTTTCAAGTTGTTCTCATTTTCACTAATGCTTGGAGCAATTGGTAAATCATCTAGGGATTTGATGCTGGACAAACGGCTTACAGAATTGCGTGGGGTACATGACGCCACGCTGCCATTTTGCCGTATTTTTGAACTGTTGTCTTCTTCATTTTGAGCATCAGTATCTTCAGTAGGTACCTAATGAATAAATATTCAAATAAAAAGCCATTAATTTTTGCAGTTCAAGGCAAACTAATGTAAGTTACAAGAATTTTAAATAGACTGACTATCACTAATATTTCGCAATATTTATATTTTCCTGGCCTTTTTTTCAGTCGATTTAATTGCTTTTAACCCACAATTATTCTTATTGATTAAGGTGAATATAACCAATATACAAGTGTACAAGTGCTTATAGTAAGGCTGATTTTTAAACTAACAAATTTCACATAGATTTTATTTTCTTCAAAAAAAAAAAAAAAAAAAAAAATCTGTTGCGTTCCTTTTTTCTCGAGAAACATACCGGGATTCTTTCAGAAATATGGTAAGACTTGATGTTATTGAAATTCGAATTCAGCGTCCAATTTAACATTTGTTTATATATTGTAAGATCTGTCTCTTCTATTCCACATAAACTAAACTAGGTCCTGCAATGAACCTGGCGAATTCTCGCCCAGGCATGAGTAAAATACCAGCACAGAAGATGGGTGAAAGTCGCCCTTTATTAATTCAAATTCGAACAGAAAGGCACGAACTTTGTGCTTTATAATAATACCGACCGGCTGCTGTGGAACTTAAACGTAGAATAAAAATCAATTCAAATCTAAAATAGAATAGAGTTCGATTAGCACGTTAAGTTACGTCTAACAGGTTGACTCAACAAAAACCTAACAGGCGTGACCATAATCCGAAATGGCCAAGAGTCGTACTAACGTAACAGCGAGATAGCAACGAAACTTGCGCTGGTTAACGAAAATACCCTCGCAATAAACTCAGAGATCCATCCGTTTAAATACTCACTTTACTTAACTTGAAATTTATATCCTGGCGAGAAATTGCGAGGGAAGTTAAGGAGTTCAGGATACATATCAAAGTTAAAATAAATTTGCTATGCAAAATAAGAGAAAAACTACAATATCACCGCACCCTGTCGTGGCCATCTTTGTTATTTCCTTTTCCATTTTTTTAGTTACTGGATCAAGAACATCTTGCTTTGGAAAACATTCTGCAGTTTTCGTTCGTGTCAATCGTTAACTCATGTTTTTGTTTTCTGGTCTTATATCTGGTCGTCAAGTATTTGAAAATATAGAAAATATAGTTCAATGACGAATGATACCGTTACCTCTTAACTGGCAGAACCTTCCTATTTTATGATTTTAAAGATGAGCTTTTTCCACTCATGCATTGGTATTAAACATCTTTGCGTACCTAGTTAAAAAATTCGCTATCACTTTTGAAAATCACGGTTCGTTTATATTCTTCAAATTTCAATCTAGGAACATTCTGGACATGAGTAACGGATATTCCGCATATGGGTAATTGAAACCAAAAATGTGTTAATTCTATTAAGCAATGCGTTGAACACTCGAAACCAACGATGTATAATGCGGTATCTTTGATCTTCTTTACAAAAGGGTGACAGGATGTTTTAAACTTCAGAAGTAAAATTCTGTTATTATTGTTTTCTAGCAAAAGAAACAACGTTAAGTTTCCAAGATCTGAAACGTGCATGAAATTTAAAATGCGATACCCGTTCAAGATTCAGATTGAGAAGCTGAGGGTGCAAGAAACAATCTAAATTCGCCAAAACAATAATTTTGCAATAGTGAAATTTATAACGATTAATGTCTTGAAATACGAAAGGTTTCCGTCTTTGGAAAATACCTTTTCACTGAGGAAAAATCTATTAAATGTTTTTGTGAGATCCCATGAAATCAATTTAGTGCTACTCTTTTTTTTTATCACTCTACTATACGAGGCATCCTATTGCGTTCAGATGACATTTTAAGATTCGACAGCGTTTAATGATGCTACCCTGTGGCAGAACGTTTTTAAAGGTAAATATTTTCAAGAACAAGACAGGCAGTGTCATATGATTGTTTTAAAAGCAAACATTACTTTGTCAAAATGAGACTCTCTTAGGATGAATTTTTATTATTTTTTAAAGAATAGTGCGATATAAATTCCATAAATTCTTTAGACAAAGCAGGACTTGCATTATTTTATATCGCCCATGAAGTCAGTAGACAGACGAGCGAACATATTTCAATATGAAATTCTTTTATAGAAAAGCAAATATTTTTCTTACCTCAGTGTATCCATCCTGTCGCTGCATAGGTGGGTGAGAAAATGTGCTAGTCTTCGATCCACCATCTGATGGTGTCCATCGAGGTTCTGTGGGTGTATCCGGTGTCATGAAATTGGTTTCCCACACTGTTGGGTGAACTGACGGTGTGTTACCTCTCTCCTCCAACTCCAACAATTGGTCAGCAGACCCTTGGCTGGGGCTGGACTGGAGGTCTGTCGTCAAACTGCACGACGATTGCGGCATTGGAATCAAATAGTCTTCGGATCCTGGGGACAGAAGGAGACCGGGATCGGGTCTTTGTACCTAGAAGTATAATCGAAATGAATCCAAATACCAAATGCAGTAAGTTACAATATCAAACTGAATTAGATATACATTCAAAAACCAGCAGATATCAGATTCAAAAGATGTAGGAATCATCTCATTAAAATGCGTGATTAAATAATACTTTAACTCACCTGCAGGCAGCCTCCGCTATCGTCATCCACTGGGCGCATAACAGTTGCATCCCTCTCCATAGAGGGAGCCCTGTTAAAAACTGGTAAAGGCGCATTGATAACGTCAGGATCCTGCAAAATAATGTATGTATTTTTAAAAAAAAGTAAAACACTCACAATAAATAGTATTAAATTGAATTATTCGTTTAATACAATGATTGTCTTTGTTTTTCGACAGAATATCACCACACAAATAAATTACTTTGTCCAATTAAAAAAAAATGTTTCATGCGAAACTTATATTCTGATTAATTATATAATAATGTATAATTAAACATGTGCCCGATCCGCTTTTGAACTGATTCAAAGAAGCATTTTAATTTACTGATTGAACGGTGACTCAACAAAATGGAGCAGAATTTCTTTTTCAGTTCACACTGGAAGAGTACTAGGAATTTTGATTCCAATTTTTGAAAGACAAAAAATGTTTCTCATCGTAATTTGAAAGTGAGTTTAACTCTTACAGTCCTCCCTCTTTTGGAATAATCGATTTGATTGATTCGTTTGTCCCGATCCCACTCTTGGTCGATTCTTTCCTCTCTTTACTTCTCGTGCACCGCTTTTGATTCATTCCGTTTCCGATTTTATTAACCCAAGTAATTGTTAACGATGAGCAACTAACGGGTTCACTTCAGTGAAACAACAATCTTGATATGATCCCATATAAGAGTGGCTTGCCCTTCTCTAATTAAGTAATAAAATTTTATCATTAGGATAATAATAGCAATTTAAATATCCCATCTATTCTGAGAACATGTAAATTAAAAAAAAAAAAAAAAAAAAAAAAAAAAAAAAAAAAAACTTCTTTTATTGCGCTCTGTAAGTAGCTTTAACTGTTACTACAATATGCAGCGGCTATCTTTACTGAACTTTATTGAACAATATGCAGCGGCTATCTTTATTGAACTTTATCTTTACTCAACTTTATCTTTATTGAACAATATGCAGCGGCTATCTATATTGAACTTTATCTTCACTGAACTTTATTGAACTTTATCTTCACTGAACTTTATCTTTATTGAACAATATGCAGCGGCTATCTTTATTGAACAATTAAGGAGGAAAAGATGGCATTTAAGAGCAAGATCTGTCAGCCTTTAACAGTAATGGCTTAAACTGAAAGAATCAAATAAAATTGATTACAACTTTTATAGATTAGAAGCGTTTTATGGAGATAAGTAAGAAGTGAAAGAGTTTTGAGATAAATACATCTAAGTTATTCTAATTTTCATAATAACCTTTGTCAGCAAATTTAATATCTATAAAAAAGGGAAGAATTTTGAATTTTGGAATTAAGACTACGAATATCTTATATCAGAAAAAGCGAATTCGTGTGGCGACAATGTTGCTTCGTGATCAGTGTTCACTTTTATAAAGTTTTAAATGCTGCTGTACGTTTATTAATATTCGCCATACTATTTATATTTGGGATGTAAACTGATGAAAGTGACCGAGTGATTTACTGTAAAATTGTTACTGCTAGGAGTTGTAAAAAAGTTTCCAAATTTTTGTGTAACATTTTTCCTCTTCTAGTTATGTATATTCACAAAGTTTAAGACATAAGAATACAAATTCAGGATCTGAAAACATTGGAAAAATCAAAATGCTTAATTTTTCTGTGTTTGAAGCTATGGATGGCAACGTTTCCAAAGCAACTTAAAATGGTGTCCTAAGTTTTAAAACTTTTGTTTTGGAAACAGGTAAGATGTTATGGTACTTTTCCATTTTGCCGCCACAGGGGATAATGTCGTCAAAAATTATGGAACCGATGCCAAACCAAAGAATATGTATTGTGACACAGACGTTCTTTAGCCAAACGGAATATCCTCACTGGTAACCTTTTACGCCTCATTTTCAAAACAAGTCGCAGTCATTTCTTATCAGATTGTTTCTTTCAATACTGGCATACAATTACATGGAATTTTTACCAAATAGTTCAATTTTAAGCCCTAAGGCCAACTGCGGTAATTATGTTAATTAGGATGCAATCACACCGCTCACCCGAAGGCGAAAATATAGAAAATGCAAAGTCAAGGGTTAAATTCATCCATTCTAATGAGATTGCACTAGCGAAGTAAAGCACTGCGGTTTTAGATAATTTCTGAGTAAGCTATTCGTACGAATTGAAATACATAATTCTTGCATTTAAACCTTTATTCTATAAGATTTAATTTAAGATTTAACTTGAAATTAATGTAGATAATTACTAAGAGAATTAGATTTTTGTAGAGTAGTTTACGTAAGATCAGATCACACTGAACTAGATCGGTTCAGTTTCAAGATATTATGAGATGAATGAGTTTTAAATCATTGGTTGCCTACTTCAGTTATTATTTATTGTTATTTTAATTATTACTCCTAGCGTTAGCAGTGACATATTGGTTACTATGTATAATTTAGAAAGACGAAGAGGAAAAATTGTGCGTGGAGTGGACGTGTATCTGCAGCTGGTAATCTTACAAAAATAATAATTACATACTTTCTTCTTTAGTAAAAAGAAACACTCGAAAAAAAGACTTTTACTAACGCATTTTATTTTAAATTTCTTAGTTCGTTTGCATTTCATTTTAAATGTTTTTTATTTATTTATTTATTTATTTATTTATGGCCATTCTAAAATTTTAAAAAATGATTGTAAACTCGACAGCATTTGATATTACAAAAAATATTATAAACCTAAAAGAGACGTTTGAAGATATGCATGCATACGTAAGAAAATGGAAATAAATCGACATTTCGATTTTAAACCAGCACAGACGCACTCAGCTAATCACTGCTAAGCAACGTTTTTGAAAATGAGAGTAATCAAAAACAGTACGAGAGAAATTATAGAGCAATTCAAAAAATTTTTAAAAAGTCAAAAAATTATCTTTTCTCTCCGTGCGCTGGACGAGTTAACATTAGTATTAACAGATCAAAAATTTATTCGAGTCAGATCATTGGATACTGAAAATAAGGGTTGGATGTTAGAGAGGACACAAGTACGTTGGTTGGTTTATTAATTTAGGCAAATGCCAGAGAATTGGCCACTAAACGCGTAGAGACATTAGGTATTTTTTTTGGAAGCAGTAGAGGTGAGAAATGAGCAACGCCTTCGCCGGGAATCGAACCACGAACCTCTGGAATACGCGCCCAGCGTGCAGACCACCACACTACGAAGGCATGCTAAGAATGCAGGAGAAACATCTTATATACTCGTCCCTTTTAAAGGCCAACTGGGGTTTTCTGGGGATACCCAATCACCAAATCCTGGTGAGGAGAATCATCATCCACTACCCTTTTAGTTCGAGAAAACATTAGGTATTTTTTGGAAGCAGGTGAAGAAAAAAATGAGCAACGCCTTCGCCGGGAACCGAACCACAGACCTCTTTGTATTCACGCGCCCAGCGTGCAGATCACCACACTACGAAGGCATGCTAAAAAGGCGGGAGAAATACCTTAGAAGCTATTCGCCTTGATCTTGCTTCTCAATACTTAAGATCAATAGATTTAGAAGATAATAGTGCAGTGCATTTGTCAATATGCTCCTTGTCCACGGACTGCCCAGATTCAAAAATAGTACAGACAGAAGAGTCCTTAAGTCGTATTTTAAGATGGGCATTCAGACAATCGTGTCGAGTCAAAAGACAATATAACGCCACGGCTAGTTAATTATTTTAATTGAAAGCATTATTCGATTCGTTTGAGGGTTACAGGCTTACTGGTTAAATTTTAAAAGGAAAAGTTGGTACTATTTATTAGGGCCGAATATGCAAGGAGGACTTAAGCAAGATAATTTGTTATTGTGGAGAACTTTAAGATAAAATTGGTTATTATTAACGTATCAAGCGAGGAAAAGACATTTTTTTTACTTCTCTAAAAGATTGTTCTAAAATCCGTTTTCAGCATAATCTGTCATAATTGTCATAATGATTTTTATTGCCAGTCCCTGAATAGTTCACACAAATGTTCACATCTCAGTTAGAAATCTCGGTTTTTCTCTTTTTACTAGTTTGCTAAATAGTGAAGACTAACTGCCAGTAGTAATAGTATTTTGAGTGAAAACATCAGACAGCAGAATTATGTACTTTTGAAGCTACGAGTTATTTTCTCAAGATTAACATTCTGTCTCAAGATCAACATTGAATTTTTATTCTTTTTAAATGCCACCCAAACAAGAATCTTGCCAACAATTTATATTCAAGTTGGCATCTTACTCCATGTTACTTTCTAGGTAAGGTATAAAGCAATTTGCACTTGAATTTTATGCCAGAATTAGTGTCCTAGTTGGTTAATTAGTAACCCTTTATAACTGATTATTTTAAATGATTTATTTATAAAATTCAGTGTACTTATATGGTAAATTCAACTCTATGAAAGAATTATGAAAAACGTAATCATGTTCTACAAGCTAGTGGTCTAATAAAATTACAATAAGACCCCGCTTAACGCGGTGGATACGTTCCATCAAAGTAGAGCGTAATACGAAACAGCGCTAAACGAGGCTATCTTAACATGTAAATAATGGGGTTAGGGAAAGATGGATAGGAAATTGGTTAGGTATTAAATTTAATAATATTTTTAATAAAACTAAAACCAAACATTTATTTCTTATAAAAATAAAAACGATATAAACGAATATACTTATAAAAAAACAAATAAAATTCTCAGTCAGTCAGATCATTCAGTCTATTCTGTGTTTCCAATTTTCTGCTTTTTTGTCAAGAAGGCATCTAATGTTGAATCTACTGAAGGTTGCCAAATTCAATGCAAAGCACTGAATTTGAGACTTGACGTTCACCAGAATCTAATCTTCTAATCACATGCATTTTAGTTTCTAGTGAAATGCTTTTTCTTGGTTGCTTTCTTTTTCTTGTTTTTTTATTATCACCCATGATAAAAACTAAAGATCATAATATTTGTCACTGTATTAATCGTTATAGTATTATATAAGTTTATACTTACAATAATGTCAACAAATGTTTCAAATGATAAAAATGCGTCCGGACAGCACCGCACCAAACAAGAAACACAACTACAGTGTTTCGGATATGTTATTTGGAAACCTAGCGCTGCGCACAATTTCAGGGAAT